GTAAACAATTACCGACTTCGTTGCCCTCGCACACGGACACCGGGAAGATAAACCATTTGCTGGAATATCTCTAGGCTTCCGGGAAATCGAAGGTTTCTCGAGCACTTTTCTCGACTATAAGCAACTTTTATACCGCGATATCCTTTCGATGCAGAGGCACGTAAGTGAAGAAAAGCCGGGGCGCTGGAAAATAGAGATGTAAGAGAACCGACGACTGTCGCCGACTTTGATCGCGGCGACTTTGTCATGGAACGATCGAGAGCTAGCATCGAAGAGAGACCTGTGCACCATCGAGAAGGAGAGACCTCCGTGTCTCGAGCTTCGTTTGTAAAGGACTCTCGACAAAGTAAAAGATCGATGCGTGAGGAATAAACCTCCTAAAACAGGAAGCTTTCTATAATTTTAAAGAAAGTGTCACTCGGTCCCTTCGGTTCTCCGAACTTTCCACAGAATCCACCTTCAAATTCAAAGAATTTTGATAAAAATTCAAGAGATAAACGATGATCCTTTGAACGCAGGGTGTATCGATCGAGAGTAGAGTAAATTTATTTTAATTTTAACCCGAATCCCTTTGGTCCCCTAACCACGCCTTCTACAGAGAAGATTCCAACGGAATGACCAATGTTTCGCTCACAAGATCGAGCAACCCCTGAAATTTTGCCTGGATCACGACTGTTCGTGAGACTCGACCGATATTTCGAGCGAGTTTTAAACGCGAGCTGCGTGCTCTCGGGTAGCAGAATTTCAGTTAACGCCACAGCGAACAGCGAGCAGACTACCTCGGAAAGGGAGTTATTATTCATGGGGTGCCAGGAACGGAGCTATTTATCAGGTCACGTGAAAATTGCATTGACAGAAGAAATTCCCTGCGCGTTTTCGGCGTAGCAATCAAGGGGATGCTGCCAGGTGGATACTAGGACGGCGTAAAAATCGCAACCGAGATGTCGGCCGCGTCGCGACGCCGACTTACGGCCGGCAAATTTCCCAGGAAACAACCGTGGCAAGGATAATGCATTCGACTGGAGGTCTCGCGATACGTTTCAGCTCGATCCACGAATTACGTGGGTAACTTCATAGTGCATTAATGCGGTGCATTACAGAGTTGCCCGGGACGGGCTCGTCTCGCAGCGACGAGCGCCTTTTAAGGTGAAAATACGACGCAACGATCGACTTACATTAGTCGTAGTCCCTTAGCCTCGTACATATGGCGCATAAATTTCCACCACGACCACCGAGTTCGCGACGTGGCCCGCAAACACCACCGACAGCTTAAAGAACACGTTTCGACCAACAATCCCTAGACTAATTTCCAAAGACGAATTCCTACGGACGCGAAACTTGTGAAACACTCGAAGGCTTCTAGCATTAACACCGGAACTACCGATCTGTAACGAACAACCTAAATGGGATATACATTTTCGATGATAATTAAAGCAGTAGAATGAAAGAAATGGAGCATACGTAATTACGATTAAGTTCGAGTAAACGTCGATATTAATTTCACATATTAAAAACATCTGCAACAACTGAAACAAGTCATTTCACTCGTAAATATCCCGACCATATAATCCTTGCACGCGGTCACTTGTTCTTCCACATGCACTCCAGATATCACTCTGAGCATTTGATTTGAATCTCAGGTTGCTGTTTATTATCTATCATCAGCTAAGTAGGACCAAGTGTTCCCTTGCACTCACTCTCAAACCCTAGCATCCTACAGTTCTATTGTCAACCCTTATCGGTGGCTAGCTTTCCATACGCGATTCTCACTAGGTTGCAGCTGGTTTCGGTAAATATGCGAAAGATTTCCGCCTTGCAACAAAGTACTGTTGTCACGTGAGAGGTGACTTACGACCGATAAGGGTTAAAATATCGCGAGAAATCGCTGGTATTATCGATCACCGATTCGAATCGTAAGAATAATCATTAAAACACTGTCATTTAGATCGTATCGGGAAATCGTCTTTAACTAATTAATCTACACCCTGCGATAATTATATTTCTACCTGAAATGAAATAAAAAAATTATTAAGACATAATCAGTTCACAAATTGAATATAAAAATATTCGAATAAAATTAATACGTAATATTTCGTCGATTAAAGTCAACGGAGACTCTCTCACCCACTGGTTCTCTTCGTTAGCACTAAAGGTCTAATTTGCCCGAGTAGCAATTTTGATCGTTGCATCCGATTTTTCCGAAACGGACTCGAGCTCGACCACGGTTAGTTATCGGTTAACGAAGCGATCTGTGAGCAGGGAATCTCCATTGGCGACTCGATTAAGCGACGAAGACACTTGGCAGACGTCGATACTCACGAAAAAGGAGCTGCCCTTCCGAAACGCCAGGGATCTGGTGGCTCTGGCCGCGGCCGCAAGTTCGCCCGCGGTAATGAGGGTGAAACAGAGGATGCTCCAGAACAACGGTCGCATAATCAGTGAATGTCGGGCCCTGGGCCAAGATGTCCTCGCGAACTTCCCGCTGCGGCGAATGCTCTCGCCTGTCTAGGAATCTTCGTCTGATGGGATTGAGTCGCTTCGGCAGACAGTGTTGCCCTGGGTTATTGATAACGGTGCTTTGGCCCCCACCAGCAAGCTGCCAGCGACTTTTTCGCTCCACTCGTGCAGGTCTCGGTTCCTTCTTCCTCTGAACCGAGGTCTACGAAGCTCTTTGTCTCGCCAGCCATTCTTTTGCCAAAATTATTCCCGAATATTTGGTTAAATTTGGGTAAAAGGTTGGAGAATTCGTCTTAATTTTGAGACGTACGAAATCGATCCTCTGAACCGAGGTCTGCGAAGCTCTTCAAATCGCCAGCCATTCTTTTGCCAAAATTATTCCCGAATATTTGGTTAAATTTGGGTAAAAGGTTGGAGAATTCGTCTTAATTTCGAGACGTACGAAACTGATCACGAGGATGAAAGAAATCGCTATATTCTCCGGTTACTTCACTACTGTTCCTTTAACAGATTACTAAGCAGCTTCCAAGTCTAATGGAGCTCGTGTTGCTTTCGTTACACGTGGAACCACCCTGTCTGGATGACAAGATAAATCGACGTAAGTTGGACATTTCGAGTTTCCCATGCTGCTCCTCGAAGCGTGATATATCCCAGAAAAGAATCGCGATAACTGGAGCAATTTTCGCGTTTGAGGATGGAAGCAGCGAGAAAAATAGCTGCACACTCGACGACGTCACAACTCGCGCGAAATATTCATGGCAAACGGGAGGTAATTCGGTTGCATTTAACCGGCTGCATTTGAGAATTCGATTTCGCGATGTTTCCACGTCTGCGAAATCTCCGGGAAATGGCAGTTTGAAAAATTAGCGAGATACGTCCGCGGTACGAGGCTCCATAAATACTTATCAAGCGGTTCGCTAAACTTGGCACGGTTCTAAACGCGACTGGCAGAGCGGAAATAAACAAAACGAGCAATTAAATCGGCCTCAAAGCAACACGTCGAAGCGATTGCATTGCTGCAAAACGTCCGATGTATCCGAAATGCCAGCAAAACGTTTGATAATGAATTATCCCGCACTGGTACGCGCACCTACCTGCTTGCTCGTCTTGTAAACGTATTTATGAACCTAATCTAGGAGCTGTATGAAATACATACTGGTACTTCCACCGTTTCTTTCCCTCCATTTTTGCTCCCTCCCTTTTTCCTTCATCCTAGCTGGCACTGATTAATCTCTACTTTAATACGAAGAAAATCCTCGGGGGTGGGAGGCACGCGTGGAAAGTGAGGGGTTAAACGGACGTCGGAGGAGAGTGTATCAAGGAAGATCAGAGAGTCCAGCGTTTGATAAACGGACCTCCATGCTAAAATTATTTCGCGCGCTTTTTAATTAGCGGAAATACCGTAGAAAATTCGCAGAAAATTCGGAATAAATTGGGAGGGAAGTTACGTGGCAATTCTTTTATTGCGCGAGGCGTGTATACACGCGAGGCAAGCGTAAGGCGAGACAGGAAGCGATTCGTTCAGCTGTAAAGAAGAGTAAGCGATGTAACGGGGTATGTAACTGGGTGGGAAAAGAAAGCGGGGAGCGTGTAATAATAAAACGCGATGCATCTTCGTTAATAAATGGCGGATATTCTGTCTAAGACCCCTAGACCAGTGGGGCACGTGGAGTAAATCGTCGAGCAATCCTCGTGTCTACGCCCGGCCATGGCTGCCTCTAAATATTCCTCGTCGGTGCCGGTAAAGTTTCCGTGATCTGGGCTGAAACGAAATATTTCTATGAAATATTTTTGCCAAAGTATCTGCGAACGGTCATCATCGATTGTGTCGTAAATCGTCACTGATTGTCTTACGTTAGCAATAAATGAATCAATTCGCCGACCAGGCCCTCGTCTTTCAGGGGTGTCGAAGCAGCTTCGCAGATGTTCTTCATCAAGCATCCTTTCCCATCGATATTTCGCCTGAAAACGATTATTGACGATCAACAGTGGGCAAATGCAATCGACACCACGCGTAAATAACAGAACCACATGTTCGTGTCGTGAACATTTAACGCGACAAAGCGTTGACACCGTTAAATTTCAACGTTACACGGTAATAGAATACTCGATCCCTAAATCGTTCGTGCGACGCATTAATTATTTATTAAACCTACACGCAACGATAACACGTATTACAGCGCTCTGTCGTTCCGCGAAATATTTTAATTCTGAATTCGTCGTTGAATTAACTATTAACTATCGAACATCAATCGCGATGAAATACAAAGGCGGCGAAATGATTTGTAAGCGCATCGATTCGTTAATTATTCGTAAATGTGAATTTCAAGCACGGCGAATTATTAATTGTTTGCGATCGCAAAATTCCAGACGCTGCGAATTATCGAACGGGGGAGTCGCGATTATAAATACCGAACGTAACGCGTAATTAATTATTCGGGATGCAGAGCGAAAATGAATCCGGCATTTTGGCCAGACAGATGTAATCACCTGTCAAGTTCCTGTCGCAGGATGTCGTAGACAGGAGCCCTCTCGTCCCAGCTTGCTCTCCTGCGTCGTCCCCGCGACGAGTCCTCGAAGAAGTTGGTGAAGAAGGTGGCGTTGTCTGGCAACATGTATTGGAACTGAAAGTTCTGGCCGTAAACCAGAATCTGGCCCGAGAGCTGCACCGGTACCGCCAATCCGACGATTAGCTTGACAGAAATGCAATAAATGGTCAGGTGTAGACGTCGCGTGCACGGCGAATCGAATTCGACGGTATTGCTACCTTTTCGGGAAATTAACAGTTGCAAACGATACTCTAACCCGTTAAAAATATCAAATTACCAAACTGTACATCGATCGATCGACGTATTCGGAAAATATTAAGCGTCCACGAATGAATTGCATAAAATCCCAAATAAAAAATTGTGCGACATAAAGAGAATCACGAAAACGTTGAAATAAGAGTGACAGAAGTATATAGATACTGGAGGAGTAAATATATCGGTAGACGAAGGGGTAGAATCAACCCTAACACTCGAGAAGAAACTCCAGAGAAAGCTAGACGATGCCGTAAAAGTTGGCGGATGCTGAAAGTGAAAAGATTACGAAAAAGTATAGCAACTGTACCCGCGGACCGTCTATCACGCGAAACAACTGCAAGTTCGACAATGGGTGACAATGACGAGGATCACCGGTATAATAAAAGGCATGCGTTTCGCGGACAATTACCGGAAGGGGTAGAACCAAGAGAGAAAGAAGTTCTTTGGCCGGGACGGGCTCTCCTCGAGTCGCGAATTGCGAGGAGCAACTTCTGCAAGTGTAAAGAATTTAGCAACCGGAAAGGGGGTGGAGGGAGGGTGGGGGTGGGTGGAGCGAAAAGTCGAAAAGGAACTGGCTAAAGTAGTTTTCCTTTTTCTTGCCTTTGAACCGTGGCCGAAGGAAGATAAATCTGCCCGACAGTAATGAAATGAAAAGACGGAGGAAACGGAACGAAACGCAGAGCAAAAATGGCCGTGTTACCGTTCACGTAGACAAGGAAGCGCAGTTGTACCGATATCTGTATGATCTTAACCATCCTCCGGAGGTCCGGGAATAAAAACGGAGAGACCGATAGAAAATACCAGCTACGAGGATGGAATAAAGTCTAACAAAAGGAGATAGGAAGGACGAGCGTAAAATTACAGCGAGCTTGCGGTTTTTTCCCCCCGTTCGTGGGAAATTTCGCTCACCCTGGCGAAGCTGCTGCTCGTTTTTCAACTTTCGGAATACTGCTTAACCCTCATTCGTTTCCAAGGAAGATATTACAGTGTCGCTGAACTTTCTTTTTCCCTCCTGCACCCTCTTCCTTACCTATCCACCCGCTCCCTCCGCCATTCTTCCTTTTCCCTTTTCCACCACCAGCGCGTATATGCCTACGTATTAACCACAGGTACGTATTCCACCAAGTTAGAACTTGGGTTCACGCGAACGAACGACGTCGTTTGCTCGAGATCAGCTCGCCCAGCCTGTTCACAAACATCGTGTCTTTCCGACAGCTGTCCCATTCAGTCCCGCGATTGCATTGAAACGTTGCGTGACACGGTGTAAAGACGTGGTGACTCGTGGAAATGGATGGTAAATAAATTCAGCACGGTTTTTTGAATCCCGTTCAACGGCCCGGGCACAAAAGCGTCTCGACGCGTGCTGTGCAACTTCGTAATTGTCCTGCTGATAAGATACCAGGGGCCTGACTCGCGCGAGGCTCGCTGGCCGTGCGAAGACATGGAAGTAATTCAACGTCGCGGCTCTTCTTCCCAGCCCATCTCGCTGTTTTCCTTTTTCTTTCTCACTTTGAAGCTGCGCTTTTGACGCAGTGCAGCTTCGCGTGTTTAGATACATACTGACCCAGAAACGCTGAATTTTATTTCACACCGGTCTCCCGCCTCCTCCGCGCTGACGTCCAAATATTTGCCGCCGTTCCTGTTGCTCGAAAATCTGCTAATCAAACACCGAGTCCCGCGACGTCGCGCCGATCAGACGCCGTCGATTCCGCGTGTTCGGGCCCTTCGAGAACGCCTAACGAGTCCCTGTGCAGCGACCCGGAAGCGTCAGGCGTCCCTTTCGATTCGTCATAGGCGCTCGAGGCGCGCACGATTCCGCTCGGCTAACGCGAAACGAGGCAAGAGAAAGAGATGTCCTGTATCGATTTCGTAGCCCCAATTTCGCCGTTCAACTTCCCAAAGTCCCGGTCCCGTTAGCCAGAGGGGTGCGAGTAATTGAGAAAGCCAGGGCAAACAGTCCATCGGGACATTTGCTCGGTCGAGAAGGAGCGAAAACTACAGAAAGAGTTTCCCGATTTAATTAGAAAATTTGAGAGGAGACGGCAGATAAGGCTGCAGTTAATTATCAGCGGGGATGGTGCAGGGAGAGAAACGTTTCCCCGGTTTAAAGTTCACCACCCTTCTCCGCTACTTCCAGCAGGACGAACACGTCCGTGCCTTACTCCGCGTTGCCAAGGGGTTGAACTCGCGTAGAAATTCGGTTCAGTTTGTATTCCGTCTCCGTCGCCGATCCTCGTCCTGTCGACGAACAACCTCCGGGAGGACGGGATCCAACGGCCAGCTAATTAATTCCTGCCTGACAACGTCGAATCCGAGATGTTAATTGCGAAAAGGTAAACAGGTATTCGTCCACCGAGGACACTCGAAATAACCGGAAATAATTCTTCCTCCCCGCGTTTCTCTCTCGGATCGTCCTTTCATAGTCTCTCGAGGACACGAAGGTTCCGGGGGAATAACGAATCGTCGCCTAACTTCGTCGCCGAAGTTTGACCGTGCCGCTAATTAAAGACGTCCGAAACGGAAGACGACTTTTCCTCGTCTTTTTGCGCGTTTCCGCAGCCGGAAGTAGCCTGGTCAGTTCGAAATTTGATTGCGCGAGATGTACGAGCTTTCAGCGAAATTTATGCGACCAGGGGGGCGAAGATGAGAAAGAACCCCGCCCCCCGCCGCGTTTTTCATTCGCGTTTCCCGCGTTAAATGTGCCTGTTTATCTTCCGCGTGGCTCGCAGATACGGCCCTGACAGCTGAATTATTGCTCGGCCATTATCAGCCCACCGAGAACGACGGCCTATTCGGAATCTAATTATTAATGCTTCTCGATTAATTATTATCGCGGAGTTTCGCGCCAAGCTCCACGCTCCTCTACCCGTTATTCGAATTAGCGCGAGTTAAATCGTCGAACAGGCAGCCGCGCCTTCGCGGAGTAATCCTATCAGCCTCGAGGACGCGATTATTAAGTTTTATCGTCGCCGCGTCGAAGTATGGATAAATACCTTGAAAATGCCACTGAGAGGATAAACAAGAGGCGGAGGATACAGCGCCTGCCTCTTCCCTCGGAGCTGCTCATCCTCGCTTCCCTGGACTCGCCCTATCGTCGGCAGGAGCAACCAGGACAGCACCAGGACCACGTTCGTTCGAACAAACATCGTCCTTCGTTCTTCCTTGCCCCTTCGTCCGACTGGTACCTTCGACAAAGAGGAAACATTAATCGCGAATTCGATCAAGCCGAATCTCTGCGTCTCCGCAGTCTTACCTGTCCTCCAGCGACCTTTCTAGCCGGAGCTACTCGAGAAAGGATACTTTGCTCGTCTCGAAGATGAAAGAACCTCCTATCCGAATCTCAAAGGCAATTTCCTCTCCCCTGGGCGGAGCACAAAGGCACGCAACTAGCGCGAAACTCGCGGCCCCGAGTCTGTCGAGTCGTCAGGCTGTGCTCGAACTTGCAGTTCCTCCGCGAAATTAACGTGTCATCTGTCAACTAGGAGCATAGTTACGCTCGAAGCTTCCGCGACCGACTGTAGGCGGTCGAACGAGCTAATTTTCCATCCTTGCCAGACCACCGGCTAGACCGTGTCTCTCCTCTTCGTCTGCTCCGTTGGTCCCACGCCTCTTCCTTCGTTGGTCCTCGATTCCGTTAACGAGGAAAGAAAACACGGCGATTTTTCGACCAGTCGTGTCTTGCCTGGTCGTTCCCGTCACGATTGTTAAAACAAGCCTCGCGATTACGAGCGTCGTCGATGAACGTAACCACGAACGAACTCTGCTCGAACGAGTAGCAGCGCGAGAACTTGCGAGTAAGTAGCGGCGAATGGAAGTTTCGGCCTGGAGAAGATCTCGCGCCCGAAACTTCCGCTTCCGGGATGACAAAGGGAGCGAAATGTATAAACAAAGGCGAAGACGACGAGTATTTTCCAGCGGCAACGTGCTGCCGGACGTACTCGTGAACTGTAGAACTGTCGGGAAAGTTGGCACGACGGGCTGCGCCGGGTGAAACATTCAGCTTTCCGGATCGCGAGAAATACCGGAAGAGACGGGCCATCTCGGTGTAATGAAAAACACGCGTTTGATCTTTATCGATGGCCAACCGATTGCTCGAGATCGGCGAGAGAAGTCAACGCGTTAATCTTGATCGTGGAGAAATTGCCAGGCTCGAAACTCCGGCGAGATATATTTTTCGTCGCGATATTTTTCCAACGACCACTTTTCGGCTTCCACGGGCTTTAAGGATACACGATCGCTCGCGCTATCGGAACACCGTCGAAAGACAAACGCGAGGCACACCGAATGAATCGTCTGCCGGAGGAACGGGGGAAGCAAATAAAATGGAAGACGATCGAAAATGGTGACAAATAGCCGAGCGAGCGAAGGGAAACAAAGGAAGAAGAAGATCGCGTTTTCCGTCTTGTATCCCGGCCATTTTAGGGTGAGCCTCAACAGCGAAATTTACTTAGGACTTTCCCCATTTTTCGTCACGCTTTTCCTCGCCTCGCTGAAATCGGAGCGGCTTCTTGCTGGCAAGGATATCGCGAATGGCGTACCAAAGGATGACACGCGAAACTTCGCTTCCTGGTTGATCGAGGATAGTAGGAAATTTCAAATGATTTCGCGAAACATCGACGGAAACAACGTGATTGGTCGTAACAACGTGATTATAAGAAGCTCGTTTATTTCGAATTACACGACGGAAGGTGACGATGGAACACCGAGGTTTCCGGGACAACGTGGCAGCTCGTACAACGAAATTTACTTAGCACTGTTCTCCACCCTCTCGGCCTCGAGACTGCTCTATAATAAATTCTTTTACGAGCAAGTCACTGCTCGTCGTATACCTGCTCGAACGAGCAGAAGGATATAGAAATATATCGCGGCTGGAACAATCGATTGCTCGCGATACAGAGACGTTTGGTGGGGTATAAAAAATTCAACGATTCGTACAGCCGGCGTGTGGAAAACGGCGGTGGCGATGAACGATCCGAAGCAGGGGTTGCTTGGAAATCAGTGCGGTTCGAGGACGTCGTTCAAACGCACAGTCCCCTAGGGGAATGCGACCTCCGTGAACGTTTCGATGGGTGACTCGACGCAATCGGGATAGGCCAGGATGCAGTCGCCGCCGGATCTTCCCAATCGTTCCGCTTCCTGGTACAATTGGTCGATGCTCCGATGAGTCGAATTAGCCGTCCCTGGCAAGTCTTCGCTCGGCCTGATCCAGAAATTCCCGTTGTTCCTCTTCAGCACTGGTTCTCACGCGGCACGCGTCGGGGTAGAAGCGAATAGATCGCGGATCGATCACGGTTCTCGCGTAATTATTTCGACTCACCATCCCTATTTCTCTCTTCAAAAAAAAAAAAGAAAAAGGAGAGAAAAGGAAGAGAGAGTCCAGCGTGTCTCGTTCGGAGGTGGCGAAAGAGAAAAGGGAAACTTGGCGCGGACTGGATCGAAGGAAGGTGCAATTGTCCGAGCGGAAAATAGCGAGTTCAGTCGGTATTATTGACATTCGACGCGCGTTAGCCGACGATTGTTCCGTGGATGCTGCCGCCGCCGCAGGATTACGTCGGGAGAAATTTCCCGGTGACGTGTGTACACAGCTAGGCACGGCACAAAGGGAAAACCTACGCGAAACACCTTCCATTAGAAGCTTAATGCACGCGCCTAACTTCGTCGCAATTAGAGCACCGCTCGCTGGCTCGGTTGCAATTTCCTTCGAGTACACGCGGCCGCGTGCGGAATGGCAAATTCCTGCCCGGTTTTCCATCCGGGCCCGAGACTGACCCGATGTTCGACCAATGTTCCACCTGTTCCACTATCGATAGACCGTTAATTCGATCTCTTCGACGTTGCAACCCTTGCACGCGTGCCGCTTTAAAATTTCCCGCTCTATCGAGTTAAGCGCAGCGACGCGCGGTCTTTCCTCGCGGAAATTCGTTTGCGTCTCGAATCGACGCGACGAGAAAATTCTTTTCCGTTTCCTCTCCGTATTCCCCCTCTTTGTTTTCTATTTCTCAAGGTACTAGAGAACGAACGTTGACCGGAAGCGACGAGTCTTGGCGTTATTTCGCGCGTGAGGACACATTTGGCGATATTTAAAAGCGACGACTCGGTAGAGCGTTCTCGAATGTCGTTAAACTACACCGTGCCCGGTGCGACATGGATTTACTGCATTATCTCGGTCTATTCGTGCTTCGTTACGCGACACCGTCGTCCCATTTCGTCGTAAGCGGGCAGGACAGCCATTAGGGACTTGCAACGGAATTCATTAACCGGTAGCTCCTCAAGAAATGAATTTCGTTTCGGCAAGTACACGCGAGCGCCACGGAGCCGACAGTGTTCTCTCGGCACGAGTCAAAGCGCGATTCGTCGCAACGAACTTACGTTAAAATTAAGTGGATCACCTCCTCTAGGACGTCCTGACGTGTCCTGCCAAATGGTGTCTCCGCGAGCTCGCAAATGGTCCTTAAAAGACACTTCCTGCCGTCCCGCCAGCCATGCCTGTACAGAGGAAACGTTCGATATTAATTTCAACCCCCTTTTCGCTCCCTTTCGCTCTCGCCCCTTATGCCTCTCCCTTTTCCACCATTTCCTCAACTCGCGTATTTTTCCTCCACTCTCTCTCTCTCTTATTTCTTACTCCTTTTTCCACCGTTTCTCTTTTCTCTCCACTTTTTCCTCCATTTCTTCCTGCTTTTTTTTTGTAATTCGACCGCGGCGTAGAAGTAATTTTATTAGGAAGTCGCACGGTGGCGAGCCCCTCGGCGAACCGTGCAGCCGCGAGATGATATTGGTTTTATAAAACGGTAAAAGGGAATTCTTAAGCGTGTCCCGTACTTCTTCGCCCCGTTCCTAGTCGAGAAATTCATTATCCTCCCGTTTCCTGGCCACCGTTCGACGGCTCGCCTCGAATAAAATTATGTACCGCCCCGGAAGAAGATGCAAATTTCGAATAGGTTTAAGCGTCGGCCGCGCGTAACGCGTTAAACATTCTCGCAAAAGTGTCACGTTCGCGAGTTTCGCGATTTTCGACGAGCCACGGACGTAAATGGAATCGCGAGCAACGATTAACCGACATCGGCGCGTGGCTTTCTTTCTCGCACGGTTTCCGAAGAATCGACGGGTGAATTTGTCGGAATGACTGGCCAGGATCTCTGACGAATCACCGTGAAAGAATCGCGACGAATCACCCCCCGTTGGACCGGCTAACGATCCATTTCACGCGACGCCACGTCCCCTTGTCGGCCCGAATCAGCCCCGACGCCTTCTTAACTTCCGCGTCGTCTTTCCGCACCGGAATCGTCCGCTTGTTACCCACGCTTCTCTCTCCCTCCTTCTATCGGGACAAAGTAATTGCCTTATGTCCTAATTAATTTACGTTCGAGTCCCCGTCTTTACCTCTCCTTGGCCCTTTGATCTTAGAATCCTAATACTCGCCTCTGCGAAAATGTCTCCTCTTGACCCGCCGGGTAATCGTATTACCACGGACATTGTTTCGTCGTCCACAGTCGAACGCTTCTTTCCCAAACGTCGCTTCGAGGAAACACTGTCTTTTATCGCGCCGCGCCACTCGATTTCATCGAAAGATATTTCCAAGACGATTTACCACTTCACGATCTACCCCTCATTCCGCGTAATCAGCCATTGTCCGATAATCGCGAATGTGGCGAATCGCGGCCGGATGATCCTCGACTAGAAAATGGAATTTCATTAAGCGTATCCCGGGGAACGGTCTCGGCCAATTCCGGTGTCCAGTTAATTACGAATTTATTCGTTCGCTTGCAGCGTGTTTACCGATTCATCGGGCAATTTTGCGCGGTAATGCGGCCGCTTATTCTTCCGATTTAATGTCCGAACTGGTCGTTGTCCGCGAGATTCGACGGCTCGGATCGGCCAGCGTTGAATTTCGACGGATTTCGATTTTCCCGCTGCGTATGGAAATCACGGTATACTCACCGGTTCAATAAATTCTCGATGGCCCCGTAAGTGTCCTGCAGAGTCAGATCCCTGGCCTGCCTGGCCGGTATTATTGTAGGCTCGAGCTCCGTCAGGTTCGACGGAAGTCTATAATTGAATTGGAATGCGGACGAGAACACCACGCTACCCCTTTTGCTCATGGAAATCGGCACCGAGATGCCGACCGTGAACTGGAAAATGGAACGAGCTGAAGACGTCGCGCGTAGCAGGGTCGTTCGGCAGGCACAACTTGCCGACAGGGTAGGGAAAAAAGTTTAACGAGTGTTTGGAAAGAGGAAGTTGCGCGAGAAACGAAGGTTCGCATCGAGTGTGGGATTTTCGACCTGAATCGCGTCGATGGTATCGGATATGCGCGTGAAACGTAAAATCGGGGTACATAAATGTAGGAAGAGGCGGAAACCGACGTTGCATCTTGGTGGCGAAGTGGATGGCGCTCGTGGTTACCATCGGAACGTGCCATGGTCGAATCTTCGTCCCAGGATTGCTCGAAATTCGCTGGAGTTTTCGAAATATCGAAAATAGGGAGATATTTTTAAGCGGAAAATGGATTTGTAAGTACTCCGGGGTGAGGCTGGCGGGAGTAAGCCTGCGATTCGTAAGCCGGTGAATTTTCCCTCGATTTTCCATGAATCCGGTGATGTAACGTCGACTACGCTTTGCATGAAAATGGCGCATCGCGGAAAAAGAAAAACACGCAGAAAGCACGCAACGAGGCAGCGAGAACGAAGGAAGTGGCAAAGTGGATCTTGACACGGAACGTCGTCGGAGTTTCTCGAAGATGGGAGCAGATACCCGCTCCTTCCACTCGCCACGTCGTGCCGCGAAATTAAAAGAGAAAATATTCGCGGGGAAATAAGCAGGAAATAAACCAATTATTATAATAATCCGATTAAGCGGGCGGAGAGACTGACTGCCGGGATCGGGGGGCTGAGAACGGGGCAGAATACTTTATCAAACGCTTAGCAACGGATCGTTTCTTATCAAATACTAAGTATACCGTTGCGAGAGTACCGTTAAAAGGTGATCTTCCGCTCCGACTCGGTGTCTGCCGCTTGACTTTCAGTTCGCTTATTTAAAAGCAGCGCGGTACAGTTTCGCGTGGAATGCCACGAATACGGCTTGAAGCTTCTTTTTCGAGAGATTGCTTATTCAAACGCTCCGCGAGACCCCTTATTAAGGACGAATCGCTCCCTTTCCGCGTCGACCCGCCGCATCGACAAGCCGCGAGGACGCAGCGAGCGGCCGGCCATCTTGCTGGGTGAAACATTAAGAATTCGATGCAAACAAAGACGTAATCTAATTAGAGGAAAACTCGCGGAGTACTCGTTACCTTGCAAACCGGTCTTAATAAATTTCGCGACCTGAGTAGACGAGGACAGTTGTGAATTAGCGAGCAGGTTTATTCTCGGCGAATATGTCGGCCGACGAATGCCTCGAGAAAGAAATTTTAAAAAGGCTCAAACTCGTGGAAACGTGCACGTATAACGAGATAATCGGACGGGAATTCGATAGTACGTAATAATTACCTGGAACAACGTCCTCTGAGGATACAGAAGTATACTTTCGCTTCTCCACGCGAAGAAACACATTATCACAGTTTGCAGGAAAAATACGCGGAACATGTTAATTTTAAAATACTTGCGGAGGCAGCGAAATCAAAGGTTTCGGATCACTGGTCAACGAACTAACGGCGAATGGCTGCACGTTCGGTCGAGCGCCGACGAGTTTATGGCAAAGCGATAATGAACGCTGGAATTCGCGGCGGAAGACCGGTAGTGGTATATGCGTTCGACGAGCGTTCGCTACATCGCGATTATATGCCCGCGAAAAATTCCCAAACGCCCCTGAGAGAGAATTATCGGCGGATTTTTGGGGAATTGAACGACGCCGTTGCGTGTTACGAAAACACGAAACTCGACGCGATCGAATTCACGAGCACGTCCGTGCCGATCGTGTCCGACACTGAAAATTCCCGGCGAACATATTGGATAAATGACATGGCTGCGAGCACGGTATTGCCCGCGTACATGGCCACAGATTGGGACCGAATGTGGCCATACATACGGCAAGGCGTGTTTCCACGAATCGAGCAATAATTCTACGTGAGAAGCAAGGAGAACGAACCGGATGGTAAAATGCTAGGTATAGTAAACTCCAGAGATGCGAAAATGATCGTATTAAACAGCAATTTCTAATTACGAGATATTTCTTTCGTGTAATACCTCGACACGGACTGTTTTCAATTTTGGAATATTTTTCAAAACTCGGGAATTATTTTACGATAATTATATTAGGAATTATATTACACTAGGAACGAATTACTTTTGTTCGAACGTGAAATCTAAAATGGGGAAAGATTATAAATTATTCGGCACAAAATATTACAATTTTTTACTCTTCGTTATTTCCTATTTAACGGAATAGTCGTGTCGATTATACCCATGACTATTACGAGCATGCATGAATTAAACAGTCGGTGTGACTACATGCATATGTATAGCACTCGATTAAAATTAATTTCAATACGGCCGTATTCGCTCGTACCTCATTTCATCAGTAATCCGACTATGGTACCTCCGCAATGACGAAATAAAAGCTATAAGAAATTTAATTTCTCCCTGCTTTGTAAAAATTCAATACCGATCTAGTCGATTCTAGGAAATGGCGGGGATAACTCGTGGTCATATACCCGAGAGTGGAGGCCTGTTCGAATATCTCTCTTCGCTAATAGAACGAGACTACCACGAGTGTCGAATGATAATGAAGAAAATTCTCTGCTCACCGTCGTTCGGAACACCGTCGTCGATCGCGTCGAATCGTAAAAGCCGACCAACACAAACGCGTTTTATCAGAGTATTCAGCGGCTGCTTGGAAAACCGACGCGCGATTCATCGGCATATCAGCTTAACCCCTGCCAGCGATAGCGTTGTAAATCCAATAATTGCCCGGCCCCGGCCGTTAAGCAGCTTTAATTAATTCCGTTTCCAACGCGGCGCGATTAACGACCGAAGTTGAATTAAAATCTCATCCGAGGATACGCGATCTGAAACTCTCTTCGTCCATCTCCGCCACCTCCTGCCACAGACACGATTCCCCGACGTCGAATTATACGTCGGATTTTTGTTCTAACATTCGCTGTAACTACGTTTGCACGATGTAAATTCGGATAAAATATCAGACGCGCAAGGACGTGCACGCGAGAGGAGCGTAGCAGCTCGCAGAGTCGAATTTCCCTCGAAATCGCCATTTCCCGACGCAATTTCACTTTCAACGGCGTGGCCAATGACCGGAAAATCGGCCGAGTCGTATTTGTTCGTAATTCGGAAGAATTCCGTGTTTCTCCTGGCCACAAACGACGTTAGATGACAGCGGCTGGATGCGAGTAACGAGCGTCCCGATCCCTTTGCTTCCTCCTCCCTTTTTCTCCCGTATCCCGGTCCCTGGCTTTCGCGAAAATTTCACCGGAGAATGCACGTAGAAACTCTCTCGTTGCTCGTGCATTCGGAAGCGATCCTGCGTTCTCTCGGAGAATCTATTTGGGAGAAGCGAGTCAAAGGCAGGGGTTGAAAACTGTTGGAATATCGATTCCGGTTCTCGAAACAGTTTCAAAGAATCGTTATTTTCTATAACCGTTATAAAGAACCGAAATCAGAGGGGATCTCGATTTCGGTTACCGTGGCTCTTGAAATATCGGTTTTGTTCCGGTTCCCTCCATTACTGCTACGCTTCCAAGTAGCGCGATATCGGTTCCATACCGGTTCTTACATCCACATTGTTATTGACTTTGCGAAGCTGTTTACGCAAAACTGAACATACGTCCGATGCTATTTGTTGTTGTTATTCAATCGTCTGTTAGATTAATTTTCGATACCAGATGCGCAACACGACGATGCAGAAGATCGGTAACTTTGCGTGTCTATAACGATTTACAGCTGTGAAATTTTGACCGATCTTTGGTAAATCGCTGGGTATACAAAGTCCGAAGGATTTAGTCCAGGATCATTTGCCGATTTCACTCCCGAATCGAACAGATCTACGATTTGATTCAACGTTAATCCGAATCGCGAATGAACATCTGACTCGCGCTACTCCACGCACACTCTGCCACCTCATATCACCCAGAAAGAAAATTTATTATTAGATTAACCGATTCACCGGACCATCCGTGAGATATTTCAGGATTTCCCAAAATCTAAATCCGAGTGGATATATCGGAAGCTCCCAGGAGCGTAACAAGGAGCGACATATTTAAGAACCTTTTTCGGCAAACGGTTATAACGTCGTTCCACTTTGCCGCGACTATTTTGGAAAGAACAGTAATTCTTGGAACCGTTTCAATCCCTGGTCAAGCGTACCCGGCACGCATACCATCAGCAATCCTAGACTCGTTTCCCGTGCAGCCCGGCGGAAGCCGATGGACCCGGTGCTCGTATTTTCCGCGACCCTTTTACGCGAATTCCGTGTTAACAATCGTTATCGCGGGAACAAAGTTTCTTCGCTTGGCGGAAGAGGAAGCAAATGGAACGTGAGTAATCGTGGAAATAAGGGTGGAACGAGTGGCGGTGGCCGCGTGCGTTTAACGAAGAGCAACGATACATCGATCGCGCGCGAGGACAGGCCACCAGGACGAAATTAAAAGGGTATCTCGAGGCATTTCAGTGAGTTGAAGCTCGGCGAGCTTGCGAGGATCGAGCGTGACCGTTGCAACGACGCGTGCACAATCGGTGACCGTCCGGGAACAAAAACCGGGAGAGGAAGAAGGCGGAGAGACGGAAACGAACAATAGTGGGATTGAAAGGGTGAAAAGGAGGAAGCAGAGGGCGAGGATTTTTAGACCAAGTCCATTCCGGAAGGATCGATACCGCGGGCTTCTCGCAGTCGACGCGTTTCCTGAATGCACGCATCCCGCGAGCTTTTCCACCGACGCCCGGCTCGACGCCTTATTTTACGGTCACGTGGGTCGTAAAGGAACGTAATGACGGGGGCAATAAAAGCGATAGCTTATGGCGGAAATAATACGTCGATGTCGGGGGAAATGGTAAAAACGACGGCATTTATCTTCATTCCGCCGCGACGCGCTTGTTTGCTCGCCCCTTTGAATTACATTTGTTCCAGCGGGATGTGGAGCAGCGGTTTCCAGGGTACTACGTGTCTTCCGACGATCCTTGTTAATTTCAACGTGAAATAAAAGAGTAAGGAGAGAGACGCGGGGAACCCGGATAAAAGCGTTCGCTTCTATCGAAGGCGAAGGATGCAAATGGCTGGTCGGAAAATCGGGAATCTCCCAGGACGGTGATTCGAGACGAGCGAGGAGACGTTCCGAAGGTCTCGAATTCTGGAACACACAGAGACGTCATCCGATTACGCGTCTTCCGTTGTATCCAATAGAGGCGGTTCCTCCGAGGTTTCCCTGCGAATTACCACGGTATAGTATCCAGGTCGGCCATATCGTTGTCCCATCGAAGGTCGCCGATCTTTCCACGCTTCCGTTCGTTCGTTAAGCGTTCTGGCTTAGCAAGGCACCGCCTGGAACAGCTATAATGGAAAAGAAAGTCGCCCTGGCCCGTTCCCTGATCCCGAGTAACGACGCCTCGAGACAGACTCGAAGATTGGCAAGATAAATTACCACGGCCACGGACATAAAATTCAGCCTACGAAAGGCACGGACGAGCGTATGGCGAAACAGATTTCGTCGGAAGGGAAAATTTATAATGGCTGGACCGATAAAATGGCGCGAGTAGCGCCGAGGGTTTCCCGGGGAACGCGTTCGTTCTCATTCCGCGTGATCCACGAATTAGATTTGACTGGAATGTTAAAGGGATCGAGGGGAGAAGAAGAGGAACGTGTCTTTTCGCGAAGCGGAGAGATATCTCGCAGCCTGGCCGAGAATCCAAAGCGTCCTCCGCGAAGGGTTGCCCGTTTTCCACCCTCGTCCTTCATTCTTCCGTCGTTACTCTCCACCGACACGCTCGAGAGTTCGAATGAAAATACAACGGAGGAAGCACGTCCCGCGGAATCGTTCGCACTATCGTGGCTTCGCGGCAGACCGGAATAGTAATGCGGAGACTGAGTCGTCCTCCGTCGTTTGACTGATTCTCCATTGTTTCCCGCCGTCCGTCAGACCCGATGATACGCGGAGGATCGAGCAGGGGGTACTCGCGGGACGTCGAGCTATTTTTACGAAGATGTCAGGACGTCGGGATCGATGGGACAGGGTACCTCGATTAACAGGTTGCACAGGCGCAATTGGATTTATTTATTAACGAGGAAAGCAGTTTGCTCGACTCGTCGCGGCATCGTGGAATAATAACGAAGTCGCGAGAACTCGGTTCCGCTCCTGCAGGGACTAAATGAATGTTGCATCGATTTTTGTTCGCGCAACTATTGCCGAGCGGGAATTTGCTCGCGAGGAGCGCGGAGGCGTGGCGGCCGAAAGAAAATTTCCGAGCTTCGAACGGATCGGTGGAAAAGTGGGGGTAAAAAGGAAACAAGGGTGCAAAAATATTCTGTATCGTTACGGATAGAGAGGGTCGGATTACAGGGCAATCCTTTCACCATTTTCCGCGATATATTCTCTCGCTAACGCCCTGCCGGTTATTCAAGCGCGGCCCGAACACGCGCGTTCCGGCGCGGAAACTTTGCCCGAGATTCTACTAGCGTTGCGCGCAATTCCACGAGGCCTCTCGACCACGCGCGATTCTTTTTACTATTCCCTTTGTCCACAGTGAAATCCGCAGACTGGGGGGATAAATATCGAGAAATTAATACCTGGCCAACACCCATTCGGCGAAAAGGGATCAATGAAATAAATCCACGGGAAAATGTCGGGGGCGTTCGACTCTCGTGTCCCGGGGGCAAACGTTCCGCTCTTAGACCGTCCCTGTCCCCCGTGCAGCGCTTCGTCCCTCTCCGACACACTTTCCTTCGAGCTTTTAAGCGTTACGCGTACTTGGCTCACCCTGCACGATAATGGACTATGCTTTTTAAAGTGCTTTAACACCGGCTATTATCGTTTTGCAACCAGTTCACCGACGTCCAGCCGGGCAGAATTCTCCCCTATCTTTCCATCGACTTCGCCAGCCGGCGAATCGATAGCCTAGTCGATAAGGATCTCACGGGGTGGAACTTCACGCACGCCTAGACTGTCCATTTGCCCCTAATTCACGGCCGCAAACGGCCACATAAATCGTACGGAATTTTCAATTCCGACTCCGACGCCACTCACCCCTTCCCCAAACCCCGAGGTAATCCGGATCCTCGTGTTGCCAGAGATCTACCGCGACGTCGCGACGAACCTGCAATCGTGGAGGAAATATCCCCTGTCGAACAGTGAAATTTTAAGTATCGGCATCGACGGGATAATCCGGATAATTAGTCGTAGGATTCTCAACGGGGAACGAGACGATAGTCATCGCGTCCTAACGTTACGAAGCTTCACGCAAACTGGAAATTCTTTCAGAAGAAATACGCGAAATGTAGCGGGAACTCGAGAGGAGCGCTAGCACAGGGCTTTCCGGGATGGTTAAGGGCTTAGGATTCGTAGGGTTAATTGTCGCATGACGAATGGTCGCAAGGTGGAGCTGAATTATGTCCTACCTCGACGTTGAATTTCTCATTTGCACGTGAGAGAAATACAGACATCTATGAAAAATAACGTTGTCATACCTAGACGTGAATTATCTCGATACGGTAATAGCGAAAGGTTGGAAAAGAGGGTAGAGTCGAGTGCTTGTGTAATTTAGGGGTTGCGCAACCCGAGTTTCCGGCGTTGTCCAAGAATTCTGACGGTAGCCAAGACCGGCCAGTTGGGCCAAAGAGGAACACGACCCCGCGAACGGCGAAGATTCTTTAATTTCGAATTCCGACGAACTGCCGGGGTGAAACTCGACGATTGCTGCGGGTACTCTTAGGGAAATGAAACTCGAGGAGGGTGCAGGGGTGACCGAAGAGAGGCTGGCGCGTTGGAATGCTCGCGGAACAGCAGGCACGGTTAAGAAATGCTTTCACGGCGGCCCGACACCTTGAGAAACGGCGCTCGCCCCGAAGAGATGAGTTTTAGGCATCGTTCGAGGATAATCGAGCGTTGAACTGGCCAACTCGCCGGAAGAATCGCTCCTCCTCGATGCACCGCTGCCACAGTTGTCTGGAATACGTTCTCTCGAGAAATTACCCGCGAGGAGGTGCAGTTCTTCCTCCTCGAGCGTTCGTACTACTCTGGTAAGAGCTTCTGCGACTAGGAGCAAACACTTTATTGGCCTTAACTCACAGAGATTTACCCTCCCCGGCTGAGAGAAGATTCAGCCGCGACTTTAATTTACTTTCGTACAACAATCCTGTAATCATCGATCCCGAGCAATAGAGACGCGAAAATCTGCCGCGCGAACTCGCGCCAGCGAATCAACGAGGATCACTCGGACTCGCTTAACGAGCTGACATTTCGCCGCATCCCTGTCAGTCAGCGTGTCGTCTTCTTCGGGATCCGACGCTGGAGAGGCACGTTGCTCACGTGATCACCGTGGAAAACACGTCGAGCACACTTCTGCGGCATTCTGGATAAAGGGCGTGGCAGTTTTCCGTCGACATCTGCTCGCCCAAACGCTCGGCCGCGCGGTACTCCCGATCCCCGTACTCGTCGTACCGCTCGTCGGTGCTCGAAGGCCTGGAATTCCAGCGAATTCGCGTTCGAGTTCACGGTGAAAAATTACAATCGTCGCCGCGAGAGATCGAGGCCCGGGGAGAAACGGCCTGGAAAAGAATTCGGGGGGCCAGGGACAGGGGGAGAGAGAAAGGGTGGTAAAGAGAGAGAGAGAGTGAGAGAGAGGAAGAGAGAGCGAGAGAGCGAGAAGGAGGGTGGTACCCGGGATCGATAACGCGACCGGATACGCGAGAGAAGCCCCGAAGTTATTTCGCAGCTTCCCTCGCGTTAATTGGCGCCGCGTTATGCGGACCGACCGCTTAATCCCTCGCCACTCGCGCCACGCTACTCCGCTAATTCACCGGTTAACTACTACGTCATCGTAACTTCGCTTTTAGTGCCACAAGGCCAGGGGTTTTATCGCGTTCCCCAATGTTCCGTGCTTTACGACGCGATCCAGACTTTTAGCCTGTCACGTCCTGTTTCGACGTGCGGTAGGATCGGGTTCGTAGGCTCGGACTCGAGTTAGAGCACGAGGCAAGATGACGCTCGGATTCACGTGGCTCCGTGACACTTTCGACTATTTGCCTCGTGCTCCAACCGACCTTCTTGTCGACCGATGCCACAACAACGCATCGATCTCGCGCGTAGATCACTGCGCGGTGACACGACGGAATACGTGAAAGCAAATATCAAAGCGCAGAACTTACTTGAAGAAAACGTGCAACAGCTGTCCCAGCAAACCGTGTCGTCCATCGAAAGGCACGGAGGCAGCTTCGCAGATGGCCTTCAATAGACAAGCTTTCCCACCGAATCCGTACAGGCCGGCCACCTTCTCCAGCGTCTTGTAGATGCTCCACCTGCTCTTCTGCGTCCGAGAGTAGTAAACCCCAGGCATGGTGAAGTCCGTCGCGTTGGTGGGCATGTTGAACACGATCTTCATGAACATACCGACGATCACGCTCTCGTGGTCCAGCTGCAGCGGCGTGCCCAGTCCGAAGATCAGCTGTCGTCACAGGGTTTCGAGGGAAACTCTCAGACCGGGGGTAAAACATTTTTCGAGGACGCGACCGATCGAGGAACGAGGATCTTCGGGATCTTTTATTCGCCTCTGTGTCGCCATTGCATGCACGCGATCTTCCGGGACTCTGCCAAAGACCGTTCTCGCGAAATCCGTCGCTCTAGGTGACCGCGTAGATGCCGGCGGCGCGATTCGATCAGAAAGCTCGTTGTTATGGCGGCTATTCGCGCGGGCGGGGGCATAAAGAGGAAATTGGATGAACTCAAACGAGATCGGGTTAAAATCCAGTAGTGTCCGGAGCTAGGAGCGGATCCCGCAACGACCGTATCTCTCGCGTGTTCCCGAACAAATAACTGTAAACTGCGTCGTTCGTTAATCGCGATTCCGGCTTCCCGAATTTACGCGACACTCCGCGCGATGCTCACTGATTTCTCGACCACTTCTAACTTTCGCGTGTTCGCTTTCACGCGCGATAACGAGACAGGCAACGCTCGACGATAACGCTGTTGCTCCGACGAACGAGGATCAACTGGGGTGCCTTAACACCGCGTGCTACGATCTTCCGATGCTACGTGCCACGATCAACAACATGGTCGGTCGCACACTGATCCACTCGCTGCGAACGCGGCGAATAACACGCAACTGAGACGGAAAAGCATCGGCAAAAACTAACCACGAGCCTGGAACCCAGTGTTTACATTAAGCGTTATCTACAAGCCACGCCTTTCAGCCATAACACTCGGGTTTGGCTCGATTTCCTTACGAGGCTCGCGCGGTATCGTACACAAAGAGGTTAAGCTAGCTATCCGCAACGATTCGCGATATTCATGGAATAAAGTACACTTTGTATTCCCGTGGAATCGAATGCACTCGAAGTACAAAGGAACAAAGATTCACGGTGGTGAATGACGCGGGCTGCTGTCATAAACCGGGCGGGTCTGCGGTTAACGCGAGTTCGGGACGACTCGTGTTGGATGGGATAATTAAATTCGTAGATTTATCGCAGCGACGTGTCTTCTTTCCAAAGATATTCCGCAGGACGTTGCGAGGGGTCGATCAAAGAACCCGTAAACTCGCGGAGCAGTTTGGATCATGGCGGACTGCCTTTTGGGAGCGACCCGGGTGTTAAGTTGGATCCCGGGTCGACCTAGGCGATCCCGAATCTGCCGACTGACCCAGCGATCGAATATCCCCACGGATGCAAGGGGACGAAGAAGAGGGTGGCGACAGGGGGTATCGGAATAGTTGGCGAAACGGCCATGGTTCCTTCGCGACGCAATTAGTACGAGTAGCCAGGAGCAGAGCGGCGTATCGGTGCTCTTTGAAGTGTATCGATCTCGATTGGCAGCGGGCCGGCCTGCTCGATGCAAAAACGCTACCTGGCCCTTCCCCGCGAGCCCTCCGCGAATCTCGTTAAACTGTCTTCCCCAGACGCGCGGCCCGAACCGATTCTCCGTGGAAATTCGCGGTTTTATCGAAAATTCATACACCGGCCGCGGCCCATCCTGCCGCCCACCCCGCTCCGTCGTGTGCATGAATATGTATGCACATGTACGAGGTGCCATGGCTGCACACGTGTACCCGATACGGGATCGAGGTATCCACCTGGCGCAGAAATTGGACGAGCCCTGAAAGGTCAGGTGGAATGTGTACCGCGATATCGGACGGGAAGATGGAAATCGAAATACGTTATACACTTCCGGAACCGGTTATTACTTGCCGACCACCCCGCTAATTGTGATCCTAATGAAGCCAATGGGTTTTCGAATCATCAGTTTCGTGGCTGGTTTGCGAGACTGCGTTTGGAATAGTAAATTCGAGATGACGGGACTTGCTTTTATATTTTTGTTACTCTTCGAACCGGAGCATTCGGGATTACTCGTGGACGAGGGTAAATCGAAGAATACCGGTGCGTAGAATAGATAATAGAGTAAAATTGATCGAATTACTTTTCAAACGTACGCGCGGTCCGTAGGCAAAGGGTGCAGATAGATAAAATTGGAATGGAAGTCCGTGGAGCGTTCTTCCGGAAGAATTTTACACGGCTCTAGAAATCGGCAAAGGAAATTCCGCTAAAGCACTTAATTCGAGGTTCCGCAGAGGCCGGCAGCCTGTTCGCTGAAAATCCAGCGGCCAATGCGTTGCAACTGCGGCCCCGTGAACCCCTGGACACGGCCCTGTTCATCCCATCAAGCCGCGCGGTTGTAATCCGAAGGACGGCCGTTTCCAAACACGCTGGATGGAAAATTGGATGAGCCCCGGACATGTGGCGCGGCCGGGAATTATTCAAGGAGCGGCGTAAACGGCGAGCGGTTTCACGCGAGAGCCATCCCGTCCCGCGTTTCTCTTTCGGAATAATTGAGCATACGGATGATAATCAACGTGTATCCGCCGGCAGTAGGTGTCGACGTAGCTTCTGCAACCGCGCGCCAGGCTTTCCAGCTGAACCGTATTAACGACCAGTCGTTTCAGGGGTCCAACTAGCTCGCGAGCGTCGCAAGAACCAGGTCTGGGACACGCTACTGGATTCGGGGCGAATGACGCGAATTATCGCGTTTATTAACTCGAATTTCGTCGCAGGCCGATGATCCATGAGATCTTTCACCCCGATTACACCCCCGTCGAGGCGAACCTACGGGAGACAGAGGGTTGGATCGTTGGAATTAGCCCGAAGCGTTGGAGAAGAAGCGGAAACCGATCGCGAACACTTGAGCGACGCGCGAATGAATCCTCGATTGGCCGCGATGGAGATGGTTCATTAGCCTCGTGTTCTCTACGTACCAGAAGCTGAGAGGGATCAGGGAAAACGAGAGCCCTCGGTCGCCGCGAGGGACTTGCCAACAACCTGGTCCCGTTCCTGCCCGTGAAATCGTCTTCGTCCTCGAGCCTCTGCGTTAGACACGGCGACAGGGAAACGAGAGCTAGCGCCAGGAAGACGACCGTGCCTGCCATTGCTATGGCTTTCCAGGCCCCGAGCGATCGTTCCGCCGACGAACAGGCCGCAGCTAGGCGAACTGTGCGCGATCGCTTCAATCTGCCTTTCCATCGAGACGAGCAACCGCCCGGAGCGCGAGTTCGCCACGTGCGAGTGCCACGGCGAACCAAAAGCCGGTCGTAATAGCTGGTCCCGTTGTATCTCGGCGAATAATCAGTGTAAATATTGGTCCAGCAGAGCTGCCGTCTTGCTTTCTCAGCTGCTCCGTCCGTTCACCCGATTCGCACCGATTTGCACCGACCTGCTTGTTAATCCGAGAAGAGCACCTTGGTAACGGGACACTCGGTTAACGAGGTGTCGACGGGTGTTCGTTCCTCCTGTGTTGCTCTTTCGTCGCTCTTCGTTTCGCTATGGAATATCACTCGATGGATTCCTAGATAGCGGATGGAAAAAGATCCCGTTTCGTCTTCTTCCACTCGTTCTCGCACCGATCGAGGGATTCCCGATGATTTTACCGAGTCAAACGTTAGTCCTCGCTGATCGTTCCGACGAGGAAAAGCTTGGGGTGCGTTTGCACCAACGATCGACGTTACCACGCAATAAAATCCTCGCGAGAGTTTCCGATTCACCGGAAGAGGGTGGCCGGAAAGAGAGACCCGGCTTCCAGGGTAGGATCAGCCGATATCTGGTTGGTAACCGGTGATTCGAAGTCACCCGGCGAGATTCTCGGTGAACCGAGTCGGCAGTCTGCGAGCCGGGTATTAAATTGAATTACAACCCTGCATGCCTCGTAAAGCTCACCCTCGTTATGTACACGATTCTTTCGCCCATGGAGCGTAACCGCGAGCACATGCGTACCCGGGCTTTTATCTATGTGGGTTAAACGATGTCCATTTGTCGTTCCTTATCCGTCTGGTGGAGACGTCCGACCCGGAAATCGAAAGCCGGTCCCCGTGATTCCAGGCCAGGGCGGATCGATGGATCCGGCGGAATCGACGCCGTTGTCCAGGCCACGAGGAAATTGCTGAACACTGGATCGCATTTTTGACGATGCTTTACGGATACCGAACGTGTCCTCGACGCTATCGAAGTTTTACCGTGGTTTCGTAGGTCACCAAGTTTCTTCGCCGCTCGAGATTCGCACGCTGGCTCACAGCCACCGACCTCGCGCAGGTGATCACGGTCTATGCTTGGAATTTCTCCTCAGCGACACGGTTGCGAACGGTAACTTTCCTCGAACGATATTCCACGGCTTTCTAAAAGGATTCAAATGTCTCGAGAAGTTCTCAACGCAACGCGCATGCAACGAATACAGAGTTGGTAAATTACGTAGGAAATGGAGGCGCGAAAGGGGAACTTCTTTCAACTGCTGCGAGGCCGGACCAAGCGGTGCTCGGAACTGCCGGTAGCTGCAACGGTAATTAATTTCAATGGCTATCGACTTGTAAATGATGCAACTCGGTGTGCCTCGCCTTTGGAAGAAAACTCGCGAAAACACGTCGGCCATGCTCGCCCGGTTCTCAGGGCCGGTTAATATAACGGCACAAAAGCTCGTCAACTTGGAATTTCGTTAGGGTTAATATATGGCAGGAGTTTTCGAAATTCTGGGCACCCTGTCAAATATACAAACTTTTTTCCGCTTCAAGCTCGCCTCGGCCAACTTTATCCTACGAATTTATTGCTTCGCCGTGTTGCTTGCTTGATTGCTTGACACTGTTTATTGCTTTTCGGTGTAACAGCGCAGAGCTCGTACCAGCTCTTCTCCCATCGAGCCATTCCTCTCGGACCGCAGTTCGAAAAGTATAAAATTAATATTTACCCGGGACTCCGAAGCGGCGCGCGTCCTTTTAAGCGCGCCGCTCGAAACAAGGCGTCTCGTTAATACCCCCGTAACTACCCTCGTCGACCCGAGTCGAAAGCAGAGCTCGCAATCGAATCGTCGAAGGGGCTGCGTGGAACAATCGAGCCAATGATCGAGGCTGAAATTCTCGACGAAATGCAGGCAACGCGCGTTCCGGTAACAATGCGTTCGTTAATCTGTCCGGCGCCACGAGCTCGTCGATTCCGCGCATCCCGAATTATCGACAATTAACCGAATACCCCGCGAGGCGTGCCGAACGCAAAGGGTCGAACGCGAAAAGAGAAGAAAGGAAAAAAAAAAGAACGGAAAGGGAGGGAAAGAATGGGGCGGGGCGGGTGAGGGTGGTCCTGCAAAAGCTCAAAGGTTTCGGCCTCGGTGGCGTTGTAACGACGCGGAAGTAAAATCGTATATTGTCGGCCCGTGTTAATTACCACGAATGGCTTTGCCCTGGAAAAACCATCCTCTCTCTTTCCCAGTCCCGCCTCGCCCCGTTTCTCTCGGTCACCGGCGTCACGGGCCATTTTTTTTCCCTGCTCCGCTCGCTCTACACCCTCTATAAATTTCAACCGGAGTATTTTCTCTTTACGTGTACCTGTTATTGAACGAGAGAACTGCCAATAACGCCGGATAACTGCGTCACGTTTCGCCGCGAACCTCCACCCCCGCGCGGTACCACGCCACGGGCTTCACCCTCGCAGCTCTTCCATCCCCTTCTCGATCCTTCTTCCTTCGCCGCGACCCCGCCATTCGCGCGTCCTTTCTTCCCTTGATATTTCTAATATCGCGCGACATCGGCGCACATAAATTACCCCCGGCCTTCGATATAGTGTTTCGTTTCAGCCGCAACCCTCCCGCGGGACTTTCCAACACCGGCTTTGTCCAACGAGCTGGCTGTTCCTTCCACGACCAACAGACGCGAGCGAGAGAGAGAGAGAGAGAGAGAGAAGAGGGAGATAGGCGTAACCAGACGGGGTTCGCCTTTTTCTTCTCAGTTTCTCGGTCGCGAGTTTTCTTTCGCGACAGGGTAACGAGGAGATCCAGGGGATGAAGAGTCTCTGGGAAGGACAGAAGAGACACACAACAGAGTGCCTCGGGCTTAAGTTTATTCTTCTGTCGATTAAGTCGATGAATTTCAGACAACGTTAGGCGAACGGCCGTTCGAGGACCTCGGTGAAGTAATCCAGAGGGCTCTCCGTGCATTCGGGGAATAAACTATCGCAAGGGCTGAGTCCTCGTCGGCCCATAATTTCAGCGGCGTGATACACTCGATCAAAGTCAGTCCTGAATGGCTCCGAGGTGGTCGACGGTCTGAAACGCGAAGAAAATTAACCGATCGCCGCGAGATGTTTAAATTCGCGTTAATAATGGCCGAGTAGTGGGAAGTTCCAGGCACGGAGAACCCTTACACACCCTACGTCAAGCTACCCTCTAGACTTCCACGGTGATCACTTCTGCCGAGGATATTCCGTCGCGATTACCTGTTTATCTACCTAATAGTCCAATAGAATCGATTCCGGGAGTGAGTCGACGATATAAGATAATCCAAGAAAGCTCCACCGCGAGAGCACGATCAACCTGGATACGTCCCCTTTCCAAGACCCCCGTGGAATCGATACTCACGTGAGGAGAAGATGAACGAGCCGAGAGCTGAGACCGTGAACTCGGCTGAAAGGCGCCTCGGAAGCCTCGCAGATCGCCCTCAAAAGGCAGGCCTTGCCCGATCTCGAATCACCGAGCACCGACTCCAGGATTTCGTAAATTTCCCATCTGGTGATCACGCGTGCCACTCCTGCGGGAAAGTCGCTCGATGAACGCGGGTTCCGATGAGCGAACAATGGAGTGGAGGAGAAAGAAGCTAGGGTCATCGTGCTCGCGGATGGTGTCATGCGAAGAGCAACAGAAGTAGCTTTGTTAATATGTAAAGGAAGAGGATCCCCGTCTTACCCAGCAGAGCTGACTGAGCGGAGTTCTCTGAATGTACGACTAGGGGATATAGTGGCAAGGATTTGGAGAAATCAGCCTGTTACCGTGGGATCTTCTCCTTTCACGACACGGAAAATTCGCGAGAGGAAGGCGAGTTTGCGGTCTGGTCTGGTCTACGAGAGAGGATGGTACAAAGGTGACGCATTTGAGAATTTTAAAGCTGTATAAAAATCGTGCATTTCTAACTTTTTTCCTGCCGAAAATCGAAACTTGCAAATGCTTTACCTTCGAATCCCTGTGTTTTTCTCTAATAAGGAGTGTATTTTCTCGATACAATTGAAAATTATTATGCGCCGGTGATCCTGATGGATATAGCAAATATCGGGATAGGTAAGGAACGAGTGTAAAAAGACCCAAGATCGTCGCTGATGTATTTCTCCCGTGCGAGGGACTACATAATCAGCTTCCATCTGCATTCCGTTTGACTTGGAAAGGAGGGTGGAAAAAATGGAGTCGGAAGAGGAATTAGACGAAGCAAGAGGCACGCTCTTGGCCAATGAAAAGTGCCGGAAGCGTTTTAGGAGGGAAAGAAGAGTGGTTGCGCGTACCTTGGTGATCCGGTTTCGGCTCGTCATCCTCGTCGACCTCGACACCGGGGCTGATCGATCTGTCATAGCGAACGTATGAATCCGTCAAGTAGGAGGCGTTATAGGGCAGGGCGTAATTAAATTTCATCACATATCCGATAATCATGCTGACGTCGACTTCCATGGGTAAACCGAGGCCGAGGATTAACTGGAACGGTTTTCAAATACACGAAGGTGTCATCGATCGTTTATGATAACCAGCAATCGAATTCCAACTGGCAGGCTCGGTCTCGTTCGGCCAGCCGGTTCGTGACATTCGATCGAATGAATTTAGACGCGGGAAATATTACGCGAAATTTTCGGCCCTATCGGTGCACGATTCCGCCATTTCCGGTCTACCACGATGCCCTGACCTCCGCGTTTTCTGCCAACACGCGCCACGTTCGCGGCAATGCGATTTCCCATGGAGTTACGATTATCGATCATATTCCATGGTCACGTGCAATTCCGCGGTTCAATCGCGAGCGATCGCACGCCCGCGCTGCAATTACGGTTAATTGCATCGCGATCGCGCGTGTGAAACGCCTATCGAGCTATCACGCGGGAGACACCGTTGTGTCTTTAGAAACGTCGCAACTCTGTCTCGACGTTCCTATAGCCAGCCCCGTTTGCACTTTCACCGTTTAACGCGCGTATCGCTTAAACAATTAGCAATCGATATCCAATTAGAATCGCGAGCACAATTAAACGTACCGATTGACTGAAGCGCCGGTTCGTGCACCGATACAATCATATACCCGGCGATACATCCGAATACCTGCACTTTAGTCGGCGTCACACTCCCCGGCTTCGGGAACACCAGATACCTCCTGCCTCTCTCGAGGCTCGACCCGGTATGGTGACACGCGAGCAGAAGAAGCGAAAGCGCGAAGAAACGCAGCATGGTGACCGGTTCGAGCGGACCGCGACGAATGATGATGGCTCCATGAGAGTTTTCTTTGGCTCCTGATCGACCAGTCGGCTAGCCAGGGCTCGTTAATGGGCGCAATTAGTCCGTTATCGCGAGTTAGCCGAATAATGAACCGGCTTCGATCGCGGTCAACGGCCAAGGCGAGCTGGATGGACAGGTCGCATCGAAATTGCACCGGTTGCACGTTGCTCTCGGTGAAACTAATGCGACGATCAGTTTCTCTGGACCCGTGTGTGTTCATTGGATCGTGAATCTTCCGAGCGTGACTGCGATTAACGCCACTGTACGCTGATGATCCATTAAAGGGGGATGACGCGTTCGCCTGTCATTGCAAAAACCTTTCGCAAGCGCAATCGACGAATTAATTTGCAAAACGTACGTTTGCATAACGCAAACAAATTTCGGGGATGCAGCAAAAATTTCAATACACGTGCATCTCCGTCTGCATTTATAGTCAGAGTCATCGGAGAGTTAACATTTACGTGAACCCGGCGCTAAATTCTTAATTTATCCATCACACTTTTATTTCTCCGTTGTCGGTATTTCCATCGTCGTTTTATATTCCCCCGCATGTATCCGAATAAACGAATAAATAAAAAGAATGACCGTAAATTTACCCTCGATGAATCATTCGCCATTTCCTGCCACCGGGATTTAAACAACTCCAACGATGCAATTGCAGAATGCTCGCTTTCGAACCCCGGTTAATGCGTTAATAAAGTGACGCGGGGGTAGGGGCTGGCCTGTCTATTGGGGCAAAAATGCGGCAAAGAGGTTATTAATGGTGGAAGGATTCGATTCGATGCGAAACGTATTCGAGCGTTATCCTTGGCGGAGATCGTTAGGATAAGAAAGCGGAAGCCTGGCTTAAGTGGATTTAAATGCGCGAGATGCAGGCGTATCGGCGATTCGCATTAACTCGCGAATAACCCCGGCTCTCGCCCACTCGCCCTCAATTGTATCGCCGCGTTCACACGACATTTGCATTATTTTCGTATTACCGCCGGCCTCGCGCACGCCGGACGCTCTGGCGCGATCATAAATCTTCTTAACAACGGGCCGCAGAGACGCCTGAGAGGAATATATATCCTTACCGAGGCAGAGCACCCGTGGGGATTGATTCGAGCCGGCCGCCGATATCGGCGAGAATTGCGCGAGCATAAACGCGCTGGATGCTTGAAAACCGCCGGGCTAATGAGAGAAAAAACTGCGGTCATGAAAGGTGATTATCGAGAGAATAGATGGAATCGAAGTCTTCTCTCTCCGATCGCTGTCCAAGTCCTCCACTCGCTCGTTCCGCCTCTGAACAGGGGGCGCTTGATTCCTAGCAGCTCGCAGATATCGGTCGCGGCAGCCTTGAGAGTCGAGAGGGAGGCAAAAGGCTTGCAGAGAAGAAAGAATCGGATTTGCGGATAGGATCGTTCTACTCGTTACCAAGGCCTCTCTGAACGGCTGACACGGATCGTTCCCTGAACCTCGGATAGACGAGAATTGCTTGTTTGGGGGATGAAGGAGGAATCGCGTTCGCCGATGGAATTATAGAATTTCGTTTCCGACGTTGGATAAAAACATCGTTGGATCCTTTCCACGGGTCGAACGCGTTTCACCGGCCGGTAACTGTGGTTCATTCATCTTCCTACAGGCCGATGAGCGCTTTCACGGCTCGGCCTGCGGGGCCCGTTTATTTCAGCGACAATTTATTCCCATCCGAACAGGAAACCCGAAAAATAGTGGCACATTTTCAACCACCGGCTCCCTTTCCTTCCTCGTGTTTGCGTGGGAGGTAGTTATTCTTCGTTGAATTCGGAAACGCCGAGGAGGGGGCGCGAAAATCGCCTGTTTCACTGATCCGTGAACGAGCTTAACCCTTTGAGCTACGATTTAATTTTCGCAAATTGCGAGTTGGTAAAGCATTCTACTTTGACTAGTCGTTGCGCGTCTACTTTGTTCCCGATACGATTATTTATATTATATCCAATTATATAACCACTGCGAGAGGATTCAAGTTTTGTATAATTACGTTCCTGTCTTGATTAAAGTCGATTAAAGTTCAGCAAAAAGCAGTTCCGCGTTTTCGCCAACTAAAGAAATAGGAGAGAGTGATTTCTACTGGCTTGATAACTACGAATACGCGTTAGATGTGATTTTAAACGACTACGAGAGGCGTCAGGATTCGCATAATTACGTTCCTGTCTGGATTAAAGTCGATTAAAGTTCAGCCAAAAGCAGTTGCGCGTTTTCACCAACTAAAAAAGTAGAAGAGTGTCAGTGATTTCCACTGGCCTGATAATTATGAACACGCGTCAAGTATGATTTTAATCGTGCAACGAGAACAACTTGTTCTCGCGTTGTTTGTACGAGAAAGTCATGACAACCCAGACTCGCCATTATGGTGCAAGTGGTTAAACCGCTAGAATTGAAACGATAAATTCTCGCAACGCGCTACAACCACCGGATACCGTGGCCGCCTTTGGAAAACACAACCCCGTTACTTTCGATCCCGATCGTTATCGCTTTCAGTCTACCGACTGCCGCTTCAATTACACATTTTTACTCGAGCTCGGCCATGGAATGCCTCGACACCTGGTACCGAGCAAAAATTCCTCCAGCTGTTCCCGAAGAAAATTACTTACGAGATGTTTCGAAACCATCCCGTACTCGTAAATCGTCCACGATAAAGGGTGAAATGTTTATACACGAGCATGTTTCTTTCATCATCCCCTATTCGCCGCTTCATCGATCTCCGCTCCCGAAACACCCTGTAAATCCTCTTTGAAACCGCGCGCGCAAACACGCTAAGCCGTCTCTGCCCTTATTTTCGTACGTCGAGGCAACTTTGATTAACTTCTACGACTTCGATTAACATCAAGCGGAATAACGAATTCGCTTCGTCGCGAGGATAGCCGACGCGGGTAAGGGGTTTTAATTCGAGAATCGAAGCAGCGCGACGGCGCCAAAGTTCGGGCTATTCGTTTATTATCCTACTGGCTAATAGTGGCCAGAGCAGGGCCCTGGATCGTGTTATTCCTGTTTAGAGCGAGGATCGTAATTTCGACGCGCCTTTGAACAGATTTCCCGCGGTCTCTCGGGACTCGGCCGAGGGAACGTTACGTCTCTATCATTAAAATTAGAATGGTCGACGCTCAGAGGAAATTACAGACCGCCGGAACTACATACCCAGTGGAAACTCGACGAAAATCTAACGACCGCGCGAAACACGGTCCCGCGGATTCGTCGAAAAATTTTTCCCCCCGCATTCACTGTCCCGCAGTTCATCGCCTTCCCCTCTTCATCCCTCCGCGCGACGCGAGCCAATGAAACGAAGATCGCGCGATTTTCCAACTGCGTATTCTCGTTTGAATGAATTCGAAGACCGATGCGACGATCGATCGATCGTTGGACGATGAAAGAAGAAAAAGGGGGTCGAAAATTTCGCAGGATCATCCCTCGCGAACTTGCACCCCGAAGATTTCGAACGATTTTTGCGTGCAATAGGTGCACTACCCTTTGTTGCGAACTACTCTCGTGATGGCATGTCAGACGTTTTAAAATGAACAAACCTGCATGTTCGGGTAACTTGAAATAGCCCTTCACTGTCCGAATCGTGGTCGCCATTTTACCTCAACTGCTCCACACTCGAGAACCTGTTCTTCGAGTTCCGAATCTATCCTACGTGTCTCTGTCGACATATTTTTGTCATATTAAATTCGTCACAGGATAGTGAAGGGTTGGAAAAGGAAATGCTTAATCCCTGAAGCGAGAAACACGAAAGGGGGTTGGAAATGGCGCTCGGCCGACAGGAGGACCTAATAAATCGGCGTTGAAATTCATCGACACGCGAGCAGCATTGAATTCAATTATTCCGAGCAAAGAAGAAGAAGAAGGAGCGGATATTAATTCATGGGAGTTTTTTCCGTGGATTATGTAAATCGAGTTTTATCGCTCGTTTGGATATCTGGCATCTTTGAAACTCGCTGAATGATGCAGGGGACTTAACGAGCCGCCCGGAAGTTTATAAAACAACCACCATCGTTGTACCCACTAATTAATACCGTACCTAGTGCTCGTTTAAACATCCGAATCTGAATTTCGAACAGAGAATTTCAAGAACGAGACGCCGCTTGACGTTACAATTAAGGACTTGCTAATTACAGTGACTACCATAAAGGCTGAAATGGAAGGTGATAAAGAATGGAAGGTGAGAGGGGGGAATGAGGTATTTTTGCATGCCGAAACCGACGCGAATTAGACTAGGAAATTACAACTTATGATCACGCTTGTAGATCGGAAGGGGATTATTCTTTACTCTTACAGCGATCCATTATTCATGCACGCGCGGTGCTAACAAAGTGGTCCGTGAAACGGTCTCGAATTCGCGAGAAAGGGTGGAGACGAGAGGACCCCTCTCGTTCCCGTATTTCCACCGATCTCCAGGACATCGTTTTTCCTCGATTCGCCCGGAATTTCGCATTCCTCGTTCGCCAAGAAAGCGGCGGGGATCTTTTATAATCGCGGCCATTCTTTCCAAGCGCTGCACTCGAGACCATACTCGAGACTATACCCGAAGGGAACCGGCATTAATCGGCAGAGCCATTAGGAACAGGAAATCTCGGCGATTCGTCTCGATAATAAACTTATCAATTTCGATGGGTACACGCGACGGCCACGGTGGACAAACACGGTGAACCGCAGATAGGATGAAAATGGCGAAACGGTTATCGAACGATGGAACTTGGTGGTGGAAAAAAGGAGAACAACGACGCGGCGACGCTGTGTCCCCGTAAAAAGGTAACAGACGCATCTGCGGTGAATAGGCACTTCGTCCTGAGGAGGAACAATCGTCTCCGACCTGTTTGTGAAAACGGAAAAGTGTCGCTATATGTCATGCACGAGCGGTCGATGCACGAGGAATAAACGTTTCTGGAGCAAAACAACGAGCAGGAAATACAAAAGGGTCGCAAGGAGGCAGGGGAAATATTCAGACGCCTCCGCTTTTTCGTCGTGGACAATCGGGAAATGTTCAAACTCGAAAGCGAGAACGGGAAAGGCTCGGAATTGCGGACCGGTGATCGGTAAATAAAATAAATTCCCAATCGTTTCTTTCGCGCGAACTTTTGCAAATTCTACAGCCATTTGCGTTCGGAATACACTCGAGATATTGACCAGGGGGTTCTTCAACTTTTCCGGTGGCATGTAATACACGGCAAACTTTCCTGCGATAACTGTGAAAGTAATGGAGTTATTTTCTCCACGATATTACACGGTGTTCGAATTGACGAATAAAAATATTACGCGTTTAAAATAATTTTCGCTTAATAATATAATATTTCAAAATTCCACGAATTAACTATATATTATGGATGAAAGGAATATTTCTCGCAAACAACTGTCAAAGATTTACCCCGATGTAGACTAACCGAATGTAAGAATCGCAAACAAAGCCAGGTTTATGCACGCTTTACAGCTGATAATTGCACTTCGGCTAATTTTAAGTATATCTCTGAGTTGGTTCGTGTAATGCCAGACGTTGAAGAACGGTACACGCGGGTTCCCGGTTTTGTAAGTTCGCGATCTTTTAATTCCGCTAATCCAACTCGTTACTCTCGCCGTACACACATGGCGCGATAAAAGGGGGATAAATAGATAAATAAACGAATAAAGTTAATTGGCCCTATCCGTAACGAGGACGCCAGGCTAATTGGCCCTTTTCACCGCTGACACGCAAACCTCCGCGCGCCGAACGCATATTTCACCCCTTTCGTTCGACGTCCTCGTTCGACTCGCCACGGCTTTTTCTTCGAGGCTTATTCACGTTTGTTGCAGTTTATTATCGTGTTCCGGTAGTTAAACGAACGCGCACTCGTTCGTGGAGAACGGCTCGTTGCCGGTGCGCAGCGTGTGTATTGATGTAAACGAGAAAAGGAATTAAAAACGGGAAATAATCCCGGCAAAGTGGGCTCATTTATGTATGCATGGTTTAACCCCGGCAGCGTTTCTACCCGCCGTAGTCCTCTCGTTCTCCTCTCCCTCTCTCTCTCTTTTTTCCCTCCGCGGCAGCGCTAAAATCGGTGAAGTTTTTTAATCACCGCCACCCCAGGCCACCGCGATATCTGACGTGCCGCGCGTGGGGAATTGTAATTGCATTTCAAAACCGCCGCCATCATGGCCGGCAACGCGTGGAAACTTTTCGACTGACTTTGGGAACCTTGACGGTGGGAACAACCGTGGAAAATATTCGTGGACGAGAATTAAATTCCGTCGCGAAATTCAATGGAAACCGATGCCAACGAAACTTCCAGCCACCAACGAGAGTCCAGCGATAATTTATCCAAATTATCGATCATCCTATCTCGAAACTTCCACCTTTCCCACTCTTTTTCCCCCATCTCGTTGCGCCACCCGCTAACCCAAGTTGAACGGTAATTATCGTTGATCTGGCAAATATCGTTAACGAAGAAACCGGTTTGTCCGTTGAGGATGGACCCTGAAGAAGTGGACTCGCGTCAGACTCGCGTCTCCTGTTCGAGACTACGGTCACGTGTCTCGGAGCTCAGGCATGTCGAATCGTCGGCTGGAACTTCTGTACGTTCAATAATTAAACGTAAACCGATTATCGTTCGTTAACCGATTCACCGGGGCGAGTTCACGCGTTGGAAGTTCTTAAAGAGAATTAAACGATCCGCGTCGACTTGCGACTTCGCCCGATGAATTTTCATCCGGCCGGTAAAAGAGGCTTTAATTTCCTTCGGTGCCCGTTAATTTGTAATGTTAATTAAGCCTCTTGCATCTCGCGCGCGTCGCGATACGTCGCGGGTCCATCCGAATTTGCATACACCGCTTCCGCTTTTTCTATTTAACCGCGCGGATTTTCACACCCCGTCGAGATTCCCTTGCGAGGAACGTGCACGGTTTGCCGATCTGAACAGCGCTTTTCTTTTACAGCCTCTTGATGCTCGATTTGGCGCTGATACTCCGTCCGACTGGCTCGAAAAGCCCGAATTCGGAGCTGGCGGAGATCCTTCATCGGCCCATCCGGTCGTTGACGTTCCCGGAAGAGAGCACCGCAGGTGTGAGTGTCATCGTGAATGCAGTGGACGATAAAGATACATCGATTCCAGAGTGACTAACGTGTTCTTCTCTTCCTTAAGCTGTTCTTCGCGCTGGCGGTACCCCTGGAAGAGCCTTACAAGTCCATCTCCATAGCCTATTTCTTCGAGGCCACTTACAACCTGCCGACAAACGCCAGCGACGAGAACCTCTGGCTGAGAAGCGGGGAACGAAGGAGCAGGAGGAGCCTGGACAGGGCCACGCTGTACCAAGTGGTGGAGAACAAGTTCGTCAAGTGAGTCTCGGGGATCGATTACGCTCGCTACGCGATGGGAATGGTCCGCGGTGTAATGGGTATGGAAAAGGTGGAAGAGCGCAGGAGAGAATATAGGATGCTGACCCAGAAGTCGTAGTAGGTCAGCCACGGTCTTATTTTATTTTTCACTTTGCTCCCCCGACTTTCTGTGCAGCTACGGATATCAGGGTCACGAATGCCTGCTGAGGGCCATTTGCGAAACTTCGGAGCGCTCCCTGAGACATAACGGACTCATCGGTGACATTCTGCACGTGATCTTCACGTAAGTTCCTTCGTTAACTTTTGCATTACGCCGGAGCCCCGCGCGTCTGATAATCGCCGGGCTGAATTGCTTCCGTCCCGCTTCCCCGAGTGGCCTTTAACCTGCCGGGATTCCTTTAAGCTCGCCGTTAATTCGCCGGGTTAATTTTCGTACCTGAGAATTTCAACCCCGCCGTATTTCCGATCCCGTTCCACCTCGATCATAAAGTTTATTAGCCCGGATGAACCGTTTAAGGCGACTAACGTGAACGGCGAATGCCAACGATTACCGCGAACCGCGGGATCGCGATTGAAAATGGGACCACGTCTGTGTATACGCGTATATATATCACTTTGCGAGTGGAATCGAGCCTGGCACCGAAATCACCGCGAGGCTTCTCTTCCCCGGAAAAACGGCGCCGGGGATGATTTCGAAGCGACGAATCCGAGCGAGTAGGATCGAAAGAGTCGCTATCCGCGTTCGCAGCTAGAAGGCCGAGCTCGGAGCTTGCGGGGCCATTGTTCGCGCGGAGCATAATGCGCTAAAGGATTCAGCTGAAAATTTCGTCGGCGCGACCTCCTTTCGCGCGGCGAAAAAAAGAGCCAGGCCTTTTTTCGGCCGGTCCAAGGCGGCGCAAATTGGAGTAGATACACAGACCGTGTAGAAAAGCAAATTTGGTTTAGCTTTCTCGCTTCTCACCGGCATTCCAGCTCCTTCTTCGTCCGCGTGCGCGCTGCTACACACGCTCCGCCGTGCCATTCCTCTCTGCCATTCCTCTCTGTGTACGTGGCGGGTGCACGCGAGCTCGTGGGTGGATAAACTCTCGAGCCAGGGACGTATGAATAAAAAAGAGGGCCCGCAGGCGGCCGTGACGCCGCATTGTCGTCGTCCTCGCCCGCCCACGACGTCCTCGTCGTCGTGAAAATTCCACGCGGTTTCCTCTACCCAGGCCGACGAGAAAATGGACCGGCTCCAGCAGCCGGGAAAATGGTGTATCAGATCTACGGCCCTCGTTATTACGCCCTGACGACTCTGCTGATTCAACTCGCACAATCGTAATTGATATATCATTCGCTCCTCCGACGAAACCGGCCATCGGCCTGTGGACAGTCCGAAAGGAGCTGTCTGTTTCGGACAGGTCTCGCGGAATCTGGGTCAATATCCACGCCGAGATCGAAGCTTTCCTCTTTAAATTAGCTCCTAATTTCACGTGATTTCGAGAACCCGTTCTCAACCCGTTCCAAGCCGATTCCATGTAATAATAAAATAAATAATAACAAAGGATCTATGGTTAGCTCGAAACAAATCCCTTATGCAAATTCTACGAATTCTGGCCCCAGATATAAATTTAGGGGTGTCGGTATTGCAAGGCGCACCCTTACCCGCGAGTTCCTGTACATCCGTTTTTCGTCTCTCGTGAGACGGAAAAATTTCGGTTGACATTCGCTTACGACATCGGCTCGCAACTCGGGAAAATCTCGGCAGAAGATCGTTGCCGCGTTTGCGATTGCGTCGCGACGTCTTCGAAGTTTTCCCGGGCAAGCGGATACGCGGGGATGATTAAACTCGAGTAGGGGGTGCATTTCGACGAGACGTCCGCTCGGGAAAATGCGAGGGGAGAGAGAGAGACAGCAGCGGTGTGTTCGCGGGATGAATAAAAATTGCAAATGGGCTTCGTTTTTCCGTTGAAGTTGTTATCGCGTTAGCGGAAGCGTTGTCCTCCTTGAGAGTCGTTTTGCGTGGTCTCGCGGGTAATTTGCGGGAATGGAGTCGGCTAAGGAGACACGAAAGAATCATGGAACAGCTTGTTTGCTCGCCGGCCGCGAACCAGCGCGTTACTAAACCCCTCGCCAGCCTCTAATATACTCCGCGAGTAAGTTCTAACCGGTCGTTGCACGAATTAGGACGAACATCGAGGCAAGGAAAATTGCGAGGACGGTATCGACGTCGACCTGGAACCTCGATTCCTCCGTTTCCACCTTTTCGGAAGTTAAAGGGCGATGCTTGGTAATTGCGCGAAACATTTTCCATCACAAGGGGTGCTCGACGAATATTTCTCCTGCTCACACCGGGTGAAAGAATGTCACTGACGTAGCTGCAGGATGATTCTTTAACGCCTTTCACGCGAGACACAATTTTACTCTCCGACGATTCTCTTATTTACTTTAACCTGCGAACTTTTATCACTCGGCGCAACGTTCTCGGCGAATTTCTTTCCCGACAGGTTCACCGCTCGCGATATTTTTGATCCACATCGGGAGGGATGAAAACTGAAACTACGCCATTGTAGACTGGCACCCGGTTTGCGATAAATTCGAGAGAAGGAAATAGTTGGCGGCTGAAAGAAGCGAGGAACAAGCGGCACTCGAGGCCTCGCGTTCCGCTCTGATAACGAAATTATATTGTTTTTCACCTCGTATCTCTGGCACGGTGTCCGCAATAAACCGTAAGGAGGGAAGGAAGCTGCGAAACGCGTGCTTCTCCCGGGTCCACCCGATTCGGAATAAGAGGGTACAAGGGCCGGAATAAAAGCGCAATGGAAGCGTCCCGGCCGTTCGTGGCGAGTTTTTACGACGGTGGCGAGATATACGCGACATATCGTCGTGTTCGCTTGCTCGACTAGCGTAATCATCTCCTCGCCTGACCGGGAATGGGAGAGGTCGGTCAGGTAGTAATAAAAAGGGAGAGACACTGGGAAATTCCGTATATCCTCGTGCAATTTTTCCACGGGCTTATCGGGGATCGTCCCTTTAAGAAAAAGTAGCGGTGCTCGAAGAGACTTTCGACTCGCCCAGCTGGCCTGGAAATCCGTAAATTCGATTTTCGGAAATCTTCGTAAGCTCGGCAGCATGCGACGACAAAGTATCGAGGGGTCCTTTGAGGCCGTAACAGGGGTATAAGATCGGAAGGTAGACTCAGACGCTTCTAGTCGGCTCCTTTGACGAATCCTCGGGTAAAACCATAACGGCGTCTTATCTCTCCTCTCTTCCTCTGCTTTTCTCCACCGTTTTCCATCTTCCGGCATTCCCATCGAATGGCCAGTGAAAAAAACAAAAATAGACGTTTCGCGTGGTAATGCAAATAACGGTCCTTGACCGGCATTAAATTGGCCCGCGGAAAGAATCGCATGGTACCGGCAATTTAATGGCCGTCCGTTAACGAGTCGTCCGACGGTACGCTGCAGCTCGTTACCGCGCCGTATCACGGCATAGGGGAGGAATGAAAAAGGGGAAGAGAAAAGAAAGAGAGAGGGAGAGGAGGGAAAGAAAGAGAAAGCTCCTTATTATCGTCCAGATGTATGTACGGTCGGCGTTGTTGTTTTCAGACCGACGAGCTCGCGACACGAGCGACTGCCGCAGGACATTCTTCAGGCTGAAGTGGTCGGACGTAATGGAAGCTGCTCCAAGTACCGACCGCAATGCCCCGTGGGACTCTTCGACTTGATTGGAGTCCTCGGCTGAGCCCTGAAAAACCACCGCGGTGCACCACCGTTGCACTCCGATCGGGTAAACAGTTCGATTTTACGCTTGTACTTTCACAGCCGGCCTCGTTCCAAAAGCTTCCAATGCGGGAGATATCGCACGGTTAATGGATTGATCGTTCCTCCTGCAACGCGCAATTTATTCCAGGCCTGCGAGGATAGGAGACCTCGAAGGAAGCAACGAATGAAGAGATAAACCTCGGTCACCGCCCACCCCTATCCAGCGCACCCTTCGAGCTCCGCGGAACAGCGAGATTCCCGAGGTTTCCTTTGGAATTCGTCTTCCTACGTGCCAGATCGTTTAATTACAGGCAAGGAGAAACAGCGGCTGGAAGAAATGGCCGTGCAGACGCCCGGCGTCGCTGTCTTGACGACACGAGGGTCTAAAAATCTGCCGAATAACGCCGAGGATACGCGACCATAATTTCTCGCCCTAAGAAGATGGTGCGAAGAGGGCGAGAATAAAAATTGGAAACTCGAAGCGTCGCCAAATTATCGGAATGAAAGCTGTTTATACACCTCGTGCCTAATCGCCGGAAGGTCGTAAGTCCCAGACGCGGCGAGGATGATGGCGCCCGTTGCCCGGAAAGGTCCTCGAGGAATTTAGCGCGAGCCTCGATCGAATTAAGCCTTTTCTCGGAGCTTTATATAGACGTAAACGGGAAATCCTCGTAACTAATATCGAAGAAAGTTTACGGCCAGTGGCGGGAAAAAAGGCGCTGTCCCGATACGTAGGCCAGCGGGCTTTATGCCGGAAGTTCGTAAAACCGGCTGAATTTTACAGCTGCTATGGGCGTGAAGTCCGCGGGAATTTCGACACCGGCGGAGGTAAAGCCGGATATTTTACAACGGCAACTTCCACGGAACTTGCAGCGAGTTTCATTAGAAATTTAAGGCCGAGAGTGCTTAAGCGCGCGGCACGCGAGTTCCCGCACGCTCCGCTTCGATCTCTCGCGCACGTGCAAATGCACGCGGCTGGCTAATTTCGCTAATTCGTTATCGGCCAAATATCCGGACCCGTTGATCGCCGGAATTCGGTCGCAACGAGCAAAGTCGGCCGACATCCATCGACAGGTGTAATCGGCGGGCACGGTGGTGAATGATTTATTTGCTTCTGTTTATCGCGCGTTTACAATTACCGTGGATTACAGCGGCGTTCGAGGGCCAGGTGAATTTAACTCGCGGCCCATAGATGTAACTTCAGCCGGGAAAATCGGGATCAGAGGTCCTGTAATCTGGGAAATCGGAATTTCCATTGGCCGAGAATTCCGAGCTAGCTGGACAGGACATTGATCGCGTCAATGGGTTCCCCGTGCACGGCTTATTGTCAGTTATTACGCACAAAGCTCGCGCGCATGTTTGCGGCCCGATTAGAAATTTAACGTCGTTCGACTGTGTTCCGTTGCAAAATTCCGATTACGACCTCCATTCTTCGAACGCGACGCTTTAAATACACCACGAGGGTCCATTTTTCCCCTGTTTCTCCGGCACAACTTTGCACGAGCGGATATCTAATTCAGCGCCCATTTTGGACCTACTGGATTCCTAACCGAGTGGAAACCGTAAACAGAAGACCGAATCGTCGACACCTCGAGTTCCGATCGATTTTAATTCGTAAAACGAAATTTCAAAAATTTAAAGTCGCCCGAACTCCGCACTTGTGACATAGAATTTCCTGTTGTTCCCTGGGTACCTATTAGTATTCGAATTTCGATACTACGTACAATTTGAATGCAAACAGGCAAGTGTAAAGCGTAAATAAATAATTGGAGGATGTAAAATGAGAACAATTACAAATTAATAAACAAACAGCTCCATGTATTGTTAACCATTCGCATACGTGTTAATACGGCTTCGACTTTACGCGAAATATCGTTCAGCCCTTATTAACAAATGCAATCTTAATTTATTCATCTGCCTAATTATTTTCGATATACGACGACAAGAAAATTCGGGAAATTTTTGCCGATTTTTGTAAAATAAATGATAAATGAACAGTCACTCACGTTTTCGATGAAAACTCCACCTGATCTATTCTTTAAGGTGCACTCGCAGGTGTCGTCGCGTGGTAAGTTCACGAGTCAGGTCCCGATTAATCAGCTCGTTGGCATGCAGCAACTCCGCGGCGACTCGGGCTTGATCGGCTAATGAATTTCGAAATTGGTCTGTTAATCGATTTCCTTTACACACCGCCCTCCTGCGGTGTACATTATACATAGCGATCAGGCCTGAACAAGATTTCGTGACGTTGCTAAAATTCACCACCAGCCGAAACTTTCCCCGTGGTTCCAGGCCCGCACGGCAACTGTCGCGAGATCTTTCCAGGTTCTATCGAAGATCTCGAAACGGGTCTCGAAAGAGCCGCACAGTTTCCGACGGGTCTTAGGAAATTCAAACGTTTACAAGCAACTGCGGTAGAGAACTGTTAAGACGTTCGTGCGAACTTTCGAGCTTTTCGACCAACGTCACGCGGCTCCAACTTTCCTTCGGCTCAGACTCGATTAAAGCTCGCCAAACCGAATCCACGCGAGTTTCGCCCCCTTTCCCACCCTGGCATTAATACACAGGGTGTCCCGTAATTCGCGAATACCCTTATTACCCATGAACGGTCGTGGTAATTTAACGTTAACGATTTGAACCACTTTGCATATTGCTACCACTCTGTTTATCCTATCTCTCAAAAAGAATTGGCATCGGGACGCAGATTGATTAAACACCTTTTAAATTTTTGGGTGGATATACCACGAGCTCTTTCAGTTTTCGACTCTGTTTCCCAAATACCCCGTATATCCCAAAATCCTCGACCCTTTTGATACTCGACCGTGTCCTCCACTTTGTTCCCGTATGTACCGAGACGAGAGATAAATAAAATTCGTTGGACCGGCTAGCGTGATCAATCTAGACGTAGCACGGGCGATCAATCATCGAATCCCTTCGCAAGGTAAACGGTAACGAGACAAATCGGTAGTCCACGAAAGCACGAATCCTTGGCTGTGTGTCGCGTACGTGCACGGTTTCCTTGTTTGTCCAACGGATAGACGCGCGTTACACGCTTCCGTTGTTCGCAAAGGCAAAGGGAAAAAGGGCAGAGTGACGAACGACGGAGAAATTGGATCGAGTTCACCGGTGAGGATGGGTCAGCGCTAGGCGTCGACATCGATGGACTCGGTTAGGGGGCTTTAGGGGGACGCATATACGTCTTGGCGTATGAAACAAAGGATCGAATAGTCTTTGGTTGACGGAAGATCGAGTTGCCCCGAATGGCAGCCGGATTCCGGTAAATCGACGATTATTCGTGGGGCTTGAGTCGATCGAGGGTGGAAAAATGGCGGCGGGTATAAGCGTTCTTCCCTTACCCTGTTGATCTCTCGTAGACTGTGAGAAACTATGCAAATCGAAGCGAATCGAGCACTCGATGAATAATTCCTTGGATACAGGATGATCGCGAACGCGCATGCACGCGTGGAGAACGATCTGCGTCCGCCAGCCCTCTAATTAATCGCCCGGCCCAAGGCTGTTCCCTTGGTACGATCCATCTTATCAGACGCGAAGATTGATTAACGTTACACTTCTCGGTTTCATTTCATCGGATTCGGTCCCTTAACCGGTGCTTTCTCCTCCGAGATCGAGCATCCGACCGGTGACATTTAAGCTCGCGAAAAAGCTCGCGATGGCCCGGGTACGCTCGTAACTTTTGTCACCGGATACGAGTCAAAGGAGCGGCGGGCAAGTTGCAAATGAATTTTCAGTTAAATACTTGGCAAGTTTTTGCAGCAGAGTGTCGTCAGCAACGGGGCCCTTTGATGTATCCGTAAACCCGAGCACGCCAAAGGAAGAGCTCGAGGAGTGTCTTGAGAACTCCTCCCGAGAACCTTTTTATTTCGATCGACCTTTGACTCGCGAGCTTTCCGCTAACGCAGCCAACATAGATTTCCTTTTGAAGCATCCGTGTACGTTACTTCTCCGAATCCCATCCCCGTGAATCGTGACCCGTTATTACGGTGCATCCGCCATCTTCAGCACCTCGCGTGATCCCGGGCTCTTCTCGTTAACCTAACCCCCCCGACCGGTTAAATATTTCTATAGTTCGATAAAGGAAGATCGCGGAACGGGGCGCACCCCGAACTTAAACGCCGGGAAAGAATGCGGCAAGCATCCGAAGAAATTCTTGGCCTGCAACAACCACTTATTAGGGACGGAATGTGCTTCTTCATTCACGACAACGCGCTTTCCTCTAAAGAACTCCTCCACTCGTAGATTTTAATAAAAAGTCGAGGGAAAAGGAGCAGGAAAAAGAAAGGACAAGATAAGAAATCACGTGGAACGATAAATCTGAAAGTTCGCCGGCTCGTTTCCCGCAGACTTCGCCCCCCGAGAGAAAGAAAAATCTTCGATGAATTCCGCTGCCATCTCGCACCAACTTTCCTCTCCGCGCCAACTTCCCGGCACGAATTTCCGGAAAACAAATTCCCCCCTCCCGTTCCGCCGACCTGGGCCAGTTAAAAATACCTGTCAATGTCGCGATCCGTCCGTCCTGCTGGCCAGGGTTCACCAGAACCCGATCACCCTTGTTCCAACCAACAACCACCGATGCGCGCCATCGCGGTTCGCGCGTTGATTTTTGCCGATCGATCCGTCACGGAAAGTTCGTTAACCGGTGATTACAATATTTATACGGGCGAATTGAATCCCCCTCCGTCAGCCAGCATTAATTACTTTCCGCGAATTTCCCGAATAATCCGACCCAGTAATAGCTTTCATTGATTCGCCTCTCGACGACGCCAAATCGCGCTGAAATTTGCATATCGACTAGAGATATTCGTCTGCGCACCCCCGAGCCCACGAATCCGCGGGTTAAGGATTTCTCGCCCGTGGACGGATTATCGAGAAATCACGTGCTGTCTGAAATCGCGAGAAATCACGTGCTCTCCGAGATCGCGAGATCTCGCGTCGAGCACACACGCGAGTGCGAGTCATGGC